AGCTTTGAGAATAATCTTTCTTGCATACTTACTCTACCGTCATATCAGAACAAAGGTTATGGACGTTTTTTGATTGATTTCAGTAAGTTTCGATTTTCTTTAGTAATTTCAGTTTCGAGTTCGCATATATGAACTTTTCCATTTATCTTATTTATTTTTGGAGTCAAGTGGTATGGAAGCCTTAAATCAAGGACCAGTTTTTACTTTTTAATAATTTTTAATAAGAATAATTGTTTTATTCTAATTTATTACTAATTGCTAATTTATTTCATATTTCTTCAGGTTTTCTTTTATCTCGACGGGAAGGAACCACGGGAACACCAGAACGTCCACTCTCCGATATGGGTAATTTGGCTTACAAAAGTTATTGGCGTAGCGTTGTACTTGAATATTTCAAAAGGCCAAGCTCCGCTTCTGTTGCCGTTCTGACGCCAGCAGGTTAGCACTGTGTAGTTTTTCCAACTCTTCGTCTTCATTTGTGCTTCAGTTTTTAGTTTAAAGATAAAGTATTATCTTTATTGCTTTTTCTATGTGCAAATTTTTAAATTAATATTATTTTAGATATTGCGAAAACCACGGGCGTTTCAATAGAAGATATTATACAGACGATGAAAGATCTAAAAATGCTTCATTTTGATCAAAAGGGAGAAATGTATGAATTCTTTAGATTATTTGACGGTCACTTTACTTTAAAGTTTTTGTCTATTTGCTTATTTTGCCCATTGCTTTACCACATATTATTCATTTCTGTGCATATATTTTAAAATTCTGGTTGTTCACAGATGTGAGTATAAATAATGTATTACTAAATGAATACAAATATCAAATGATTGAATTTGATCATACTTTATCTTATTATATGAACTCGTTGTTGTAGGGCACTGCATTTTATTTTTCTAGAAAGTCCTTTGTTATCAATAAGGATCTCGTGCAGTCACATTGGGCAAAAGCGGAAAACGATACAAAACGTATTTGGATCGACGAAGATAATTTGAAAGTTAGTGCATAGTTTCAAATAATTGCAGTTGCTTCAAAGGAAAAATTAAACAATGTTGATAAAAGTTTAAAAATGCCGAAATACGATTAGAAATATGTTCCACAAGCTTCCGACAAGCCAGACAAGAAGTGCTAGAGTAATTATTTGGAATTGGTAGTGAGATTTATAATTCGTGACAGTAACCAAAAAGCACTAATTTGATAAATTATTCACTGTACTGTTACGTAGGACTTGATTTAAATTTGGCTTGGTGATTTAACGCACTTCCCGATTTCTTAGTAATTCTCTGGTGGCATGAAATGATGTTTCATATCTTAGTTGTTGTATACAGTTAATTTGATTGCTTGTTAGTAACTTCAATTTAGTGGGAACCGAAGCATTTTCCTTTGGTCGAATGTACCAGTGATGACAGTGGCGGAACTTGAAAGTTCTTCGAACTGGACAATTCATCTTTCTTTATACAAGTTGTTGCCTTTTTATACTTTTGATTTTGAAGGATTATTTACATAATATATATTATTTTTGGTGGATGAGAAAAGTGGTCTTAAGAAAAAGGGTGCAATGGATCTCAGATTTATTATAGTTGGATGTGGATCTCGAATTCATTTTAGATTGAATTGTAAATTTAAAACATTTACGTTTTAATTTATATGGATCTGTTTTTCTTCGTTTTTTGTTATTTTCATTGAATTATCCCGTATATACATACATAGGTTTCGCTTCTTGTTAAAATTTTATCGTTGGTACATAATGCATTTAAGTCAGACGTTAACTGCTTTTAAGAATACATAAGTATCTTTTTCCTTTTTATTGAAAGAAAATTCCCGTATTTCCTTCATTATTAGTCTTTGAATTTATCGTTATGTGGACAACTTCGACTCTATAAGGAAAATTATATAATGCTTTCTTATGATCTTTCAATCACTGTTCAAAATCGTATCTCTTTTACCGTTACTGTTCGTACCTCAGCTTATCAAATAATTAATTGATCATCAATATCATTTAGAATAGAAGCACATTAAGAAGGAGGAGGCTATCATAACGAAATAATGATATGATAGAAGATATCGTGATGAACTTCCTTTCCTAAATCTGGATGAATTTTATCTATCAAAGTCAAAAATAAATTTTCCCTTTCTACCTATTCTTTTTCTACTATGCTAAGAATATCAAAACTTCTGACGAATTATTCAAAGATGGAACGAAATGATTCAATTATATAATTACATGATGTTAGCAGTGGAAATGAATGTCATAAATGATCGGTGTAGTTAAGAAGATAGTGTTGGTATGCGATAAATAGAAGAATATTTGTTGAAGGATCAGTCTCATCTAGTATAAATTTGTTTATGGAATTGAAATTTTTAAAAATTCCAAGTCGCAACCGTGCTGTTGTTTATCTGCTTTGAAGCATATACTAATTTATTGTATTCTAAAGAATTTCGTTAATTTTTTTATTCTTGTTTTAAACCAATTCCCGAGGAAATGATATGCCTCATCGTCATTATTATTACTGTCGCTTACACTCTTTCTTTTAAAATATTACTTTATTGTGATGATGTATTTTGGCGGTTATTTTCAAATCAATTACTATTTTAGTTGTTGTATGTTTGTTTCATATCTCATTCTTTTGCTCATTTCATTTAGTTCAATTCAAAAAATTAAACTTCCAAAGATTAATTGATTTCCACTTAAGTGTTTATAATAATGCAATATCGTTGACGAAAGAGCTTAGCTGAACATGTTCCAGAAAGAGCTCAGCCAAGTGCATGTTCCACGTTATATTAATTTTTCACGTGGAGTTTTCAAGTCAAATATTTCATTATTATTTGAGTAAAGAAGAAAGAGAAAAGTTAGTTACAAATAGAAAGAAGAAAAAATTCGAACAAACAGATTGAGATGTAACAGGACAGTCGGTATCTTCTTTTCATCATCAGTTTTGTTTTTTGAAAAGTTAAAACAAAAGGTTGGTGAATACTAATTTTTGAATCCAAAAGAAGAGTTTTGCACAAGTTGCTGAAGATAATATTAAATTATTTCATTTGATTGGAATCGTAGACACTGATGGCATTATGCGCAGTGGAAATATCTAATACGCGCAATTCGCTGTGTTGAAATTTCCATAAAAGTAACAATACAAATGAAAGACAAACGAATATATATATTCCAAAAAATATGAAATCTCTCTCTTATAAGCGGTAAGACTAAGTAATTTTTAATCTAGCATTTCAAAATCGATTTTCTGATGGAAGATTTGGAAAGTTTAAGTGAAATAAATTTAAAAATTTCAGTTTTGGTAAAGTATAAAGGAGTGAAGGGTATGTGTGGCATCGGTGGTTCAGTGGTAGAATGCTCGCCTGCCACGCGGGCGGCCCGGGTTCGATTCCCGGCCGATGCATTCCCTTTTCCCGTTCATGTATATGCATCTATGCGTTAAACCTGTTAAAATTCTGAAAAATCTAAAAAAGGCGAGTTAAATTAAATTTAGTCTTCCTTTAAATACACTACCATAGTTGAAAAGTGCTGACAGGACCGAATAATATGATACGTTAAGTTATGCTATTATCTAATTTTGACCACAAAGAATACTCGGAGACTTATTCCAGCAGTAATTTTTATTATTTTATCGATTAAAGATGAAACAATAATTTTTCATAAATTATTTGTCGAAATAATAATTGTATTATTTAACAAATTTAACATTTCGGAAATAGAAAAATCATATCATTCAACGAAATTTCATTTACAAACTAATCACCAATTATGTGATAAAGAATAATGGAGTTAGCAAACTTGCTATTTATCGAGTAACAATAATAGTTTTATAGGGAAAATGATATATCAAAGAAAAAAATCAGGAAAAGTTATCAATTTGATACCAAACGAATAACTGTTTGATTAATATTGAAATGGCGAACAATTCCATCGAATCCCTCCTTTGTGATCATTTGCCGATTCGTCGTTGTTTATGAATCATTTCACACTTCGTGTTCATCAATATTTTAACAGATCTTTATTTTTACACTCAAATTTATGAATTATGTCATATGAATCTTAGTAATTACAAGTGATGAACATTTATTTATTGAGTATGTGTGATTTGAATATTTAACAAATTTATAAAATGAAAATGAAAACGCTTCATAATGAATGCACGTAGCAAACGTATTGATTACTATAGTTATTTACACATTCTTCATTTATTATTTATTTAAAAGAAATTCACTTCCGCTTACTTTTAAAAACAGGAAAAAATTTTTGAAAAAAAAAATATTTCTTCATTTTTTCATATTAATCGTCTCATACTCAATAATACAAATAATATTAAATCTTTAGAAGGATTTGCTGATATCAAAAAGAAATTCTTGTTTTTAAAGGAATGTTAAAGTCTTTTTTCCAATTGTGAATTCATAAAACTGAAGATATGCTGGGCGTTAATATGAGGATGGCCGACAAAATTTGGCTAAATCTAACTAATAAGAAATAAAAACTTAATTATTTAAAACAATTAATTGAACTAGTCAAAAAGTAAAGAATTCTTGTTTCAGTTACTGTTTCAGCTATCGATTATTTAGCAAAAAAAAAACCATTTAAAGATGCTAAAAATTCGGGAAATGACAAAACTTCAAGAACAAATTACGATTCAAATAGAATTAATACTTCAATAAAGTAGAAGTAAATCGGAATTTTCAACAAAAAATCAAATCGAATGCTAAAAATTGGATAAAACGATTAATTTGTATGGAAGAGAAGTGCAAAATTTTTCCATAATTTGTGAAATAATTTAATAAATAAATGCACTTGTTATTTAACCTGATTTGTTGTTATTCCTTTAAATTATGAGCTTATTCCATAATAATTTGAATCTATTAATTGGAAATTATCAATTAATAAATAAAATTTCAATTAGGTTGAAGTAAAGAATTCTAAAATACCATAGAAATAAAATAAACTTTGAAGTGGCTGTTCGCATTAACTGAATATTTTCTTTTCAACAATTTAATGAAATCGTTCTGTTTTGAATTTCATAAATGAAATATTTTATTGACAGACTAAAGTACTAAAGCATGTACGTTAATCTGTCCGCAGTCTGTACCATTATTAATACACACCCATTATGATATTCTATCTGTTCTTCTTTACCTGTCGATTCACTCATTTATTCATTCATCATTAGCCCTGTCACAAATATTTCAAATTTTTACTCGTCATTGTTGACATTTGATTACAGTTAGCCTAAATTATATTGTTTACAAATTAAAACACTCCTTTTTTTTCTCTCTTTCTCTTTCTCTTTTGACCCTGCTTTTTAATTTTTTTTTTTTTTTGTAATATAATGTTCGCATAATATTTATTGTAAATAATCATAATTAAAAAAGAATTCAAATTTAAATGAATGAGTTTAAATTCAAATCATTGAATTCAATATAGTGTAAATTTTTTTGTTCGACATTATTGGATACGGATAATTTGATTGTGATTATTTACATCGTATGTAATTATGACAGGTTGCTTAATATTTTGCTATGGTTATATTCATTCCATATATAAATGAAATTTTTAATGTGTTACATGCAATCTACGATTACACGTAAATTCACGCCATTATAAGACAAACGGGAATTTCCGTAGTATCCATGACCAACTTCCATAAATCCTTAACAAAATGTAATCGATCATTCTCATTTCTCTGACTTTTGTTGTTTATCAAAATATCATTGCTCATCGATCGCTGAAAGATGAATTTTCGTGATACAGGTGATCCGTTTCTCCAAATCCCAGTTAAATGTGATCATTTCGATTTCACATAAACTTTTATTACTCAGTAATTTATTATCGTTTCAACTGCTGAAGAATAAGCTAACATTGTTTCATTCAGCGAATTTTCCATGATAATTTCGTTTATTTGATGAACGGAAAAGACAGGGAATAAAGAAGGCAATTTAAAATATTTAAAAGAAATTATAAAAAAATTAATGCTTTAAGAATTGTTTCTTTTCCTCCTTTCATCAAATTGTTTTTACTTGTTTTATATTAATTGCAAGAATTTATTATTCACTTCAAACTAAAAACCATTTGTAATTTTACATTCTAATTTCAAATAACCTTTTTCTGGAAAAATGCAAAATGCATCCTTGTCAATTTTTGAAATTTACACTTTATTTTAATTTATTTCTTTCAAATTTTGATAAACATTTCTGACTTTTCCAAACGAAGAGAAAAATTTATGATATAGCATAAAATTCAATTATCTTTGTTTTGAATAACAGGAGAAAAGAAACCGATAATCCGAAATTAAATTTAAAGTAGAATTGAACAAAATTCGTTTCACCGTGAAACTATTTTTACTTTCTGATGTTATCATTGATAATTTTTAAAATTACTACTCCCTTCTTTTGCATATTAAATGTCATTCATTCAATAT